ATGAGGTCTGATTCAAACCTGATATCACAAAGACATCATGTTCCTCCTCTGACTTTCTGTGGGCATTTGACATCTCAGTACAGGACAAATACGAGGGATGGATGCCTGTCTGTTTGGGTTGGCTGAGTGCCAAGCAGGCTCTGAGATGATAACTGTTGTACGGGGATTAATCTGAGTGTGCTCCAGGAGAACCCATCATGGGCTCGGGGGAAGGTGAGCTTGCCCAGTAAACACGCAGTTTCGGGAGAAAGGCGTTCTCGCCTCCTGGTGCCAAGATGCTCTGATGTCTAGATTATGTAACAAAATTTGTCTCCACCCAAGACTAGCAATCTGGATTCCCCAGATTTATAGCATCCATCTTTAGCCATGGGCCACCCCAGGGTGATAACTCCCAGGTACTCTCAGCTCTATACATGGAGTATGTTAGAGACATATGTTTAGAAACCCAATGGTAAGAGTCTAGGAAGTTGTGGTGGTGAGCTGTTAGGAGAGAATGGCGCAGGGGCTGGAGGTGGTGTATATGAAATGACAAGGGGGAATCTGGAAGACCAACAGCACAAACACCATTTATAAAATCACACAGTGAAGGGCTGGAGAGATGGCTCAGTGGTTAAGAGCATTGCCTCGTCTTCCAAAAGTCCTGAGTTCAATTCCCAGCAACCACATGGTGGCTCACAACCATCTGTAATGAGGTCTGGTGCCCTCTTCTGGCCTGCAGGCATATACACAGACAGAATATTGTATACATAATAAATAAATAAATAAATAAATAAATAAATAAATAAATATTTTTTAAAAAAAATCACACAGTGAACTGGTGTGGTGGTGCGTGCCTTTAATCCCAGCACTTTGGAGACAGAGGCAGGTGGATCTCCGAGTTTGAGGCCAGCCTGGACTACACAGCAAGTTCCAAGACAGCTGGGATGCTGTTACCAAAAACCAAAACAAACAAACAAAAAGTTGTGTAGAAGTAAAAACGTGGTACAATGACTGACTATATTTGCTCCTTGCAGAAATACTGTTTTCTCTTACCTGAAGCCGTGCTGTGACATGTAGCATTCTTGACTGGGAAGCTTCTAAACCAGAAATGTTCAGATATCGGAAGTTAAGCCCTGACCGCTGTACTGAGGTCCCCTAGCTCCTCTGCCAATGCTCTGCCGGGTCCTAATGGTCGTCATGGTTTCCATCATCAGTTACTATGCACTCATCACCTTCCTCTGAGAGCCAAACTATGTGCTCTGATAGAAGAGTGAAGGGACCGGGTACCCTCCCACTAGGCGTGTGATTGGCTCCCTATGACCTGAGTACCCTCCCACTAGGCGTGTGATTGGCTCCCTATGGCCTGAGTACCCTCCCACTAGGCCTGCGATCGACTCCCTATGGCCTGAGAAAGTGTCATCCGCTTAACCATTTTTTCAGCTGGGGAGGTGATTCAGACAGGTCACCTTCTATAATGGTTCTGCTTCTATTTATAGAACAAACTGATGAATGCTTATGGTCATGATTCGTGTTGCCCTGCATGAATTCACAATGTGGCTTCAGCCTGCTGCTCGTGCCTTCGGTGACATGTGCTCCCAACACCTTCATTTTCTGCCCTTGGTGTCTGGAGGGAAGATGTCAGACATAAGTTCTCACCTGGAGGCCAGGAGGGGTGGACCCAGGCCTGGTCTAAGGTGGCAGGGCCCTCCACCAGTTCACTGGAACTCTATTGGGCAGTGTTTTGAAGGTAGGGTTTTCAGGGAGTAATTAAGATGAAAGGGGCTGGCTGGGCAGTGGTGACACATGCCTTTAATCCCAGCACTCAGGGGGCAGAGGCAGGCAGATCTCTGTGAGTTCGAGGCCAGCCTGGTCTACAAGAGCTAGTTCCAGGACAACTAGGGCTGTTACACAGAGAAACCCTGTCTCGAAAAAACCAACCAAACAAACAAACAAATAAAGAATAAGGAGGCTGACAAGTGAGGTTCAGAAACAGAAACACAGATGGCACATGATTAAAACAAAAAAGAGATGCTGAGGGAGGAGCTACAAGGAGGAACCATGGGTATCAGGGGTGGGGAAGATGGGGGAGGAGGAGAATCACTGAAACACACTTGGTCTGAAAAATGTCATAATGGCAGCTAACACTTTATATGCTAAACTTTTGTTGTTGGTTTTTTTTTTTTTTTTTTTTGAGACAGGGTTTCCCTGTGTTACAGTCCTAACTGTCCTGGAACTTGCTCTTGTAGACCAGGCTAGCCTCGAACTCACAGAGATCTGCCTGCCTCTGCCTCCCAAGTGCTGGGATTAAAGGTGTGCACCACCACCGCCCAGTTTGTGTGTTAATTTTAAAAATAAAAAATATACAAAAATATTAAGTATGCCACAGTAGTGAAATCTCAATCTAACAATAGCATTAGTGGCCTCGTGAGAAGGTACACATACCAGTTGTACCTGGTGATTCATGTGTGTAATCCCAATTAAGGAGCGGAACAAACTCCATTTCGAGAAAGAACTCCATTTTAGACAGGGCCTAACTAGGGGAGTGAATCCAGCTCAGAAAAGTCATAAACAGTTCTAAGGGACTGTGCCTGCCTTGGTCAAAGTGACCCACCAGGGTGTCCAAACAACACCGACTCTTCTCCCTGCTGCTAGAGGGTGGAGGACAAGCACTGGCTTAGAACACTCCATGAGAGAAAAGGATGCAGTTATGTCAGCGCCAACTGAGCAAATGACTGTGACGGCCTCCAGATCAGTTCCCAGGATACAGCAGCTGAGTGCCAAGTTGAGTTCCCTCCCAGATGCCATGTCCTCACTTTGAAACAGAGCTGGCTGGGACATGTGTCCTCCTGGTAATTAAGGTTAATGAGTATTTCCCCTCTGGGGAGTAGCGTGGGGGAGTCTGCTATTTGGGGCCACATTCCTGATTGACACTTGTCCCTGGGCCAGGAGACACTGATCATATTGCCTTGGGGTGAATCTCCAAGACCTAGAGCCAGACAAGATAGGAGAGGGTCACAAGGGGAGTCTGCTGAGGTCTGACCCACACCGTGTATAAACTATCTGATACTAACCTGAGGCCACTTGCCTAGAACTTCAGTCGGCTCTCGAAAAACCAGAAGGCTTAGCTCTGCCCTGCTACCCGGGAGCAGAAAGCTTAGCGTTTCTTCCTCTCAGAAAGCCACTCAGTGACCACGTGGAGACCATGCTGACTGCAGGGCCTGAAGCCTAGGGAGGGGTGACAGAATCCTGGGCTTGGCCCAAGTGCCACTGCGGCATTATTTTTCATTCTGAAACCACAAACAAGCCCCGTCCTTTCCCCGCCTCCCAAGTCTCTTCATCTCTGAAATTCTCAATTTATAAAAACAGCATATTTTTTTTAAAGGAAACTCTAAAGAGGCCCAGTGAAATGACTGCCCAGTGATGACCTGAAATAAGGCACACACTCACATGGCAGAGGGAACAGGCTCCCACGTGTTGTCCTCTGACCTCCGTCATACATGAGCCATGAGGACACACACTCATACCGAAAGTGTGATTTAAAAAAAGAGACAAGGAACAGAGAGTGAGTTCCAGTTACCGGTGTGAATGCTGCAGTCTCTGGGGGAGATGCACCTTTGTCTGCATCTTACCTAATGCACACTCGACAGAGAGAGAGCAGACAGGCAGCTCACTAGCTCTGAGTGTTACAACTCATTCAGCTTTTCTGCATGTTTGAGAATACTGATAAATATACCTCTAGAAGATGTCATCTCCCAAATTGACAAAAAAAAAATTTAAAAGTTTAAAAAGTCCTGGGCATGGAAGGAAGGATTCTAAGTCAATACTATGCCAGAGAGACTTGTGTATCCATATTTATTATTATACCATTCGCAATACCCAAGAAATGGGACCAATTTAGATGTCCATCAACAAATGAAGGAACAACAAAAAAGGGACACATATGTAGTGATATCTTATTTGTATATTAATAAATAAAGCTTGCCTGAAGTTCAGAGAGTAAAACAGCAGCACTGATCAGCCTTACAGACCAGGCAGTGGTGGCACACACCTCTAATCTCAGTAGCCACACTAGTTTGCCACAGAACCAGGCAGTAGTGGCGCACGCCTTTAATCCAGCCCTAGAGAGGAATATAAGAGGGGAGGACACAGCTCTCACATGCAGTCTCATTCTGAGATTCCTGGAGGCAGGATCTCCATTTCAGACTGAGGTAGAGATAAGAGTCAATGGTTGGCTGCTTTACTTTTCTGACTTTCAGGTTGAACCCCAATTTCTGTCTCTGGGTTTTTAGTAAATCGTGCTACACACATACACAAAGGATTTTATGTGGCCATAAAGAAAAATGAAATCATCATCTTTGCAGGAAAATGGATATGACTGGAAACCATTATGTTAAGTGAAGTAGCTCAGATGTCTCTCCTCTGAAAACTTTAATTTCATAACTGTGTATAGACATAGGGAGCTCTGGGTATAGGGTTTGAAACTGAGAGGGGGCAATGGGAAGGAGAGGAGAGAGATCATAAAGAAGGGCTGGGGAGGGGAAGGAGATAGAATAAATGTGACATGAAATCACAATAGAAGCATCTCACCAGGGATCAGCGAGAGCAGGGGGGGGAGGGGAAAGATCCATGAAACAAAATAAAGCGTGTATGAAAATTCCACAACGAAAGCCATTTCTTTGTGTGCATTTTTTTTTAAATTTCTGTGTTTTTCGACACAGGGTTTCTCTGTGTAACAGCCCTGGCTGTCCTGGAACTTGCTTTGTAGCTCAGGCTGGCCTCTAAGTCACTGAGATCCACCTGCCTCTGCCTCCTGAGTGCTGAGATTAAAGGTGTGCACCTCCACCACCCGGTTTTGTATGCAATGTTTAAAAACTAAAACTAATTGGAACAAAAAAATGGATAATCCATCGTGAGCTGGAGAGTGTGTGGAGGGGCTGCGGGACACTCTTGCTTCCTGTCTAGTCATGGTCTCACATGGGGTAGAAGTTTCCAGAAGCAACTACTCCTCTGTTCTGTTCCAGTCACCTATGGCTCTGCTCTCTGAGAAGTCACGCTGACTCATTGGCTCTAGCTGTGATGTTCTGCTGTCCATCTTGGCTGCCGGAACAGCTCTACCCAGGGTCTTCCTGAAGTGGCAACCACTCCAGCTGGCAGGTCAGTGGTCCAGGAGTGGTTGAGGACAGAGGGGGTCTAAGGAGAAATGAGGATGCTTTGAGGTTGGGGTGAGGGACGTTGGCTGTCAATTACCTGCTATGTAGCTAAGCTTCCATATTTACCAAACGATCCTCTGTGAAGAGCTGGGCAGGCCTCTCATTCTCATGTCCTTTGCCCTGCAATTGGCCTCTCTGGGAACCGAGCTAAACCTCCTCTCCTGTCCCACCCCCAGTCCTATGTCAGCCCACCTATTTGTCAACTGGCCAATCCCAGGGCCAGAGGCTGCGCTGGACTCTTGAACACAGGATCAATTTTATTTAACGCATAGTTCCCCATAAGACAGGTAGGGTTGGTTGCCTGCACTCAGCAGGGACAGCATTGGGCCTGAAAGTCTGGAAGGCACCCCCAGGTGTTTGAGGGATGCGGCCCAGACCCGTTACAACAGCAAAACAGCACAACAGGGCTGGGGTCTGCCTGACGGCTCCAACCTTGCACCTTCTGTCTCCAACACATCTTTCAAGACAGGCTGAGCCCCTGATCGTCCTGGGGAGCCCGGGAAGAATGTGCCTCCCACGCTTCTAAGGCAGCAGCTCTTATCTGCCTCTTCCTACTGGTTGGTCAGCCCTCCACTTCTTTAGAAGTGTTCTATTGAACACTTAAACAATATTCTCCACCCATTTTTTAAAGTATTTTGATTATGGTCTGCCACTGCTTTCGCTGAGTGGAGAGTGTTGCCCTCATGACTTCCTGAAGGGCTTTAGGATTGGAGGTAACCACAGGGCACTGCCCTCAAGGTGGTCCCTCAGCCCATTCCACCATGCCCTGCTGAGAGTCACTGTCATCCCACCACCACCACCCTGGGGTGTGTATTGCTGGAAATAAAGATTGCCTACAAGGTAGAGGGCTGCGACAATTAGCGCCCCTAAGTGGGGGTATCTGTAGCAGTAAGCTCTTGACCTTGGGAGTGAATTACACAGACAAGTGACCCCGACGTCCTCACTGCCTGGCTCTCTCTACAGGGGTAGAAAATGGTACCAGTCGGGCCGGAGCCCTGGGAGCCCACAGTCACAGCTGCAGGATGGAGGAACCCACTCCCGAGCCAGTCTATGTGGATGTGGACAAGGGGCTGACCTTGGCTTGCTTCGTTTTCCTCTGCCTCTTCCTGGTCGTCATGATCATCCGCTGTGCCAAGGTCATTATGGACCCTTACAGTGCCATTCCCACGTCTACCTGGGAGGAGCAGCACTTGGATGACTGAGGCGCAGGACGCTTGACGGTATCCTAGGATGCACCTCTTCATACCCTGGCCGAGGCCCAACAAGCCCTTGGAGGCTGGGAGTGGCTATGACCACTCAAGGATGGAGAAGGCTCGCCTTCATCTTATTGGTTCTCCCATGACCGCCGGAGGGAAATGCCAGCATGCTGGAGGCAAGGCAGTTTGGGGAAGCCTGGGAAGGATGCTAAGCCATGACTCGGGCAAGTGGGGTCTATTCTGGGACTCCACTGGGAGACTGCAGGGTGATGGTACCCTGTCTAGGCTCCTGCACATCTTTGGAAAATGAACAAAGAACAGACACAGCAAACAGTGGTCAGGGGGGGACTGCCCTTCAAATACACAGCACAGAGAGGCTGCTGAGCACCCAGGACTCTTGCCCACAGCCTAGCAGCAGAGGGGCAGGAAGATTGGAAAATTCAGGGGGCTTCTCCTGCAAACTCTCACAAGGCACACAGCTACTTCCAAACAGTGTTTCTTTTTTTAAACTAAAATATAGAGGGGTATATTTTTCCTGTTAAGAATGAGATGTGCATTTTAGACACTTGGGAAAATATAGAAGAAATATAAATATAATAAAAGAAAACTACAGATAGAAGGGAGGGATGTGAAAAGCACTTATAACCCAACTTCCCAGAAGCCATCATTTTGATATACTTCTCCAAGTCTTTTTTACAAGAAACTTTTTTAGTAATTCACACCGTATGCATGATGCTGCATTGATTCATACGACAGCTCAAATACCTTCTGCCTCTCAAGATACCATGGCTGGTTTCAGTGACTGAGAGAGTACTGTCTAGGTCATGACTGAATATAGTTCTTTTCTTTCTCTTTAACATTTCCACACTGTTCTCACCCAAACTGCTTCACCCAGCAACCTTCAGAAGCTCTGCCTCCCAGGAGCTCCAGGCAAGATCTGGGTTCTAGTACTGCTTCAGCTGCTCAAAGGTTGTATGATCTTGAGGAAGTCACCTCCCCTCCAGGCACCTCAGTTTCACCACGGTAAAATGAGAAGGGGGAGTCTGCCTGTCTGTCAGGGAACGCAGCCATGCTACCGCGGGAGCTGAGACTAGGCTGCTGCTGATCGCTCTTCTCTGGTCTTTCCTCCGTCTTCTTCCTTCACCCTCTTCTCCCACACACTGTCAGACATCTGTGACCTTGCTGCAAGGGTTCTAGGTCAGAGCCCACATCCCCCTCCCAGCCTCCACTCCCGTGTTCTTGTTCTATGACCCCTCAATAGATCAGCACCTGTGAGCGCCAACTTCCTCACCTATAAAATAGGGGATCACATCTACCTCACACGGCTGTTGTGGAGAGAAGACGGAGGAGGTGAGCAAACAGGGGTATCCCTTCCAGAATCTCTCACTCTAGGGAAAGAACCCTGCCTTCCAAGAGCCAGAGCTCCCAGCCAGTGCCACTAGCCTACGGGACATTCATAGCCACCTCTTTGACACAGGACACCCCAGGGGTCTCCCCGCTCGCATGGTCGTCACTACCGTCAGTGTTATTGCATATGTGAGGTGCGTCTATTATGTCCTTCCAGGGTAGGACCTGCTGCCCTATCAAAAGAGACCTGTGCTGTGGCCCTTCGACCTCCCCTATCACCTACATTGGAGCCATGGGTCCCCATGCACCTCAGGCTGCTAGGTGATCTCTAAAGGTGGACAGAAGGTGTTGAGGTGGCTTTCCAGGGCATGTCCAGCCTCTCTCTCTGTCTCTCTCTGTCTCTCTCTGTCTCTCTCTGTCTCTCTCTCTCTCTCTCTCTCTCACACACACACACACACACAGAGTGGGATGCACAAAGGGACAGCTGGCACAGGCTCCAAATGTGGCTATGAGGCATCACCTTCAGCCAAGCCCTTCCTCAGAAACCTACCTCACAGACGGGCAGGCATTTCTGCAGGAACCTGTTAGGATGGGTTTGCAAAGTCCGCCAGGGCCTGTTCCCAGCTCTTAATGACAGAGCAACAGAAATTGAGGAGAGCTCTGAAGACTTGCTTCTGGACCTCTTCCTTCTGGATGGGAAAAACGGGATGCCCCAGGCTGTGTTCCTCAGACTGCCTGCTGAGGGAAAACCACACCTTCTCAGGAGGAGCCTGCTAGAGGCTTCCCTTTCCTCCTCATGCCTACAGACTAGGTAAACTAGAATCAGACTAGGCAGCCTGGGCCAGACCCCTGGATGACAGCGCATCCCTGTTGAGAGGCACTGCTGGGGCTCCTGGTCTCAGACAACGTCCCTAACCTAAACGCCCTAGTACTTTTCACCTTATCTCTTTGTGCTGTTGTCACGGCGGCACAGGGAAAGAATGTTTGAGAAGAGAGGGGTGATTTTAAAATCCACTCTGCCCCTCCAGAAGCTTCCGACAAGCCAACAAAGCACCCTCCCTCCTCATATTCATCCTCTCGCCAGCTGCCCTTAAGGACCTTTGGTTGTGTAGCTTCGGATGCTCACTCAACCAGAATCACTTCACAAGCAGCTTCTCACATTGTTGCTTCTTCTCGTTTGTGTGACTGTGTGTGTGTGTGTGTGTGTGTGTGTGTGTGACAGAGAGAGAGAGAGAGAGGTGGGTGCATGGCGTGTGGGTGCATGGCGTGCATATGTTCTGGTGTGTGAATGTGTGTGTGCACTGGCCACAGTGCGCGCGTGAAGGTCAGAGAACAATCTTGGCTGTAGGTCCTCCCCTCCCTTGTTTGAGACAGTCTCTTCTTTGTTCACCATTTTAGACCCCAGGTTGGGTGGCCCACAAGCTTTCAGGGATTCTCCCTTCTCCACCTGCCACCCCCCACGGGAGTACTGAAATCACAGCTGTGCACTGCTGGCCCCACCCGCCTTTGCACATACGTTCTGGGGATTCAAACTCAGGTCCGCACACTCGGACAGCAAGCAGTTGGCCTCCTGAGCCAATCTCCCAGCTTCCCCCACCTTACCATGTTTAAGGTCTGTTTTTAAACGGATCCCCTTGTGCATGTACATAGCACTGCAGACCACGACAGCAAATACGTTGCTTTCTTTTTTTCCCACTGTACATGTGCTGAGAAGGATAGATAGAAGTGGCTGGGCTGAGCCTGGGGTTGGCTCAGGAGGAATGAGAGCCAGCTTCTGGCCAGAATGGAAGGGAGGTCCCCATCTCTGTTGCTGGGTCACGCGAAGGCAAGAGAGAGGTAGAGAATTTCAAGGTTTTCTTCTCTCGTCCTTTCTGTTTCAAAGGATGGAGGAAGTGGTCCTTTAGTGACCAGAGCACCTTCATCCGTTTCTGCTAGCTGAAAAAAAAAAAAAGCCTGTACTTGTGGGTAGAGAAGGAAACACTGCAGCAAAATATCAGGCTGCAGGCCGGAAGAGAGGAAATGAGGAGAGGCTGGGGAAAAGGAGAGCTGTGGAGTCAGCTACAAGCCAGAGAAGCAGGCGAACTCTCAATGGCAGGGAATGGATGACAGAATCTCCAGACGAAGGCATCTAGTGGCTGGGTTCTGGTTGCTGCCTGTGATGTGCTGTGTGGAAGTCCCTAGGTGTCACCTCAAGCTCTTGGCAAAGGCAGGTACACAGTCCCTTCACGCCTGTGTAAGCTCAACAGTGGGTCCATCTCCGTAGATGGTCACAGAGAGGGCCCAGGTGGCCCAGAGACAAATGGGGTAATAAAAATATTCAGAAGCAGAAAATCCAGATGATCACCACCGGAAGGAAGTTGGTCCCTAGGCATGCTTCGAGGATGGATGTGACGGATGTGGGCGGCGGGACCCAGCTGCCTGAGTATGGCATATAAATTGCCATCACACCATTTTACTTTTCCAATTGATTTTCTTTTTCCCCTTTTTTGTTTATTTATTTTTTTAAAAAACTAGCCCCCCATGTCCTTGCTGGAATGAAAAACAAGTGGCTCTTAACCCCCATAACTGCCCCCGCAAGACCCCAGAGGTTTTCGAAAGAGGCCACTCCTGCTTTCAAGCACCAAGTGGAAATAATTGCAAAGTCTTTTGTCCACAAAAACGGGTCCCAGTCCCGTGGTCTTGCTGTTGGGGATTGGTCCTCCTATGTAGGATGGATAATAGCCGTAGTAGTCCCTGTAGCTGATGGCCCAGGCTGCTGGGAAGTGATCACACTGAACCTCTACATCAGTCCTGGCACAGATATAGACAGGCAGCAGTTATATACCTGCTCCTGTCCTTCTGCACTGACTCCGTGAGTGCTTGACAGTCATCTCCAGAGACCACAGAACCCTAGACCTACAGATGTATCAGTGATACTTGGGCTCTAGAGTGAGCTCCTTTGCCCCTGTGGGATATCAGTAATCCCATAGCTTCGAGTCTATGGGAAAATGTTGCCGGGACAGTGTGGCAATCCCCTTTTCAGTATACTGGTTCACCTAATAAGCCCCAAATGGCACCAAAGCCATCTTCCAAGTTACCAGACTCCCACCATGTTCACTGGTGGGAGCATTCATTCTGAGTCACCACGGATTCCCAATCCAGAGCATCTACAGTCATTATAAGAGTGGGAACATTAATTTCACAAATCACAACCCCTCTAGCTGGAAGATACATTAACACGGCCATGACAGAAACAGCATGGGGGTTCCTTATGATCTTAAAACTAGACATGCCATATGATCCCTCACTGGGGCTTATTGGCGTGTCTAAAGGAAATGAAACCAGTGTTTCTAAGGACTCCAATCCCACATTGATGGCAGCACCAATTACAATAGCCAAGAGCTGGGAAGCTTATCAATATTCATCAATGGATGAGCGGATGAAGAAAATGTGGTACCTAAGCACAGTGGAGTCTGATTCATCCATAGGAAGGATGAAGTCTTGTCATTGGGACATGGATGGAACTGGAGCCAAGTAGAGAAAAGCAAGGCCTCGTGATGTTGCAGATGGAGCCAAAACTGTTGCTTCCCCAGAGCCCAAGAGGAGAATGGTGGTTATCAGAGACTCGGGGAGGAGTGGGGATCCTGGTCACTGGGTCCTAAGGAAATAAGTTCTACTGTATTTCTATGCTGCAGACTCAACGGAGCTGGGAGAAAGGCTTTTGAATGTTTCTACCACAATGATGTAATGTTTGAGGTGATATATAGGGTTACCTGAACTTGGCTCTGCACAATATACACACATATCAACACATCCTATGATATGCTGTAAATATGTACAATTTGTGTATCAGTTTTAAAAAATAAATAAAATATAAAAGGCATATTGTTTTTCTGTATGTCAAGTCACTAAAATGAAACCTTTCAAAAAAATCCATTCTATACTACAGTTTTGCCAGTCATTTCTGGGGGTGGGAGGCAAGCTAGATAAACAGAGGAAGAACCTGCAGCTTCTGCACTCCCTACAAGTTGCTGTCCAGAGCGGTCCCCGGGACACCGTAACCCATAAAATCTATTGCCTCTGTGTAGGTTGCATGCTGGAAATAGACGTTCAGTCTGTATTTCTAAAAGCACACATGCTTTGGCTAACAGATCTGTAGAAATGAAGATGAGACTGGCCTGGAGGCTCCCTCTCTGAGTGGGTTCTGTAGAACCCAGAGGTGCTATACAGGCCTCAGAGGAAACTTTTTCACCGATAGTCCTCCTTGATTATCGACCTAGTGTCTAGTGTACCATGCTGTCAACATGCCAGGCAAGATGCGCCTACTGGCACAGTAGTGGAACGGCTATTAGCAACGCACTCAACCACATTCTGAATAGAGTTAAGGTCTATTCTATGTTTGGAATGAAAGGGATCCTATGTCTGAAACTGTAAGCCAGGGCATAACCCAGCAGTTGGGGACATGACTTGTTAAATAGAAATATATGTCTCTCTTATGATCTTCTAAACATTTGCACACATACCCTGCTATTACTGCAACTATCAGGGAAACTTCTTTTTATTTTTTATTTTTGGTACTGGGCAGGAGTTACTGTGGAGTTTCATGAGGGGTCAAACTGGAGACTTAGTGGCTGTTGCCGTGGCCCCACACTAATATATAAGTGGAAGAAAATAAGAAGACGTCTAGAGCATCCTCTCTAAGGCTCAAGGAACATTTCAGAAGAGAGAGGGGAAGGCTGGAGGAAGGGGTGGAGTGCTGTGTAGATATTTCCTCTAAAAAGAAGGTAGGAGTGAGGCTTATGAGACTCATCAACAAACAAAACGAGGAGCTCAGGAAACTCCTAAGACTCAGGAAGGTCAGAGAGGTGCAAGGCTCATGAATGAATAATGAATGGCATTAATTATTAGCAGGCCTGAAGTCTCACTCATCTAGCCCAAGAAGAGTCAGGGTTATCTTATCCTCTTCCATCTCTCAGAAACTAGGCCAAGGCTACCGTGTAGACTAGGTGGGGACAGAGACTGGGCAGCATCTGAGTTCCAATGGGTATGAAGGATAAAGGTGAGCACCAGGACCCTTGCTCATCCTGTCCTTGGCTCAGGTATACACGTTGGACTTGGTTACATGGTGACAGCCACAAGAGAAAAGAGAATTTTGCCAGATAACCTGCACAATAGATTTGGAGTTTTAAGTCTCTATAATAACCTCTCTCTCTCTCTCTCTCTCTGTATGTGTATGTGTGTGTGCACGCGCGTGCATGCATGTGTGTGTTTAATGTGTCTTTCTTTCCATCCATACACATGTGTATGTGTACATGCATGCATGCCGTGCATACACACACACACACACACACACACACACACACACACATGCGCGCAAGCACGCACACACGGGTTGTATCTCTCTGAAGAGTACTGAACACTTCAGGGGCCATTCTCTTCCGACATTCCAGGGAGTACTGAAGGCCTGAGGAGTCTGACGAAGAACCCCCATCAAGGCCTTCAGCCCCACACCCAGAAGAGATGAACTAATGACCGTTACCATGGGAGCAGCGACCCACTGTACAAAACCAAGGACAGAGAATTCTGTGGTCCTTCCCACAAGCCAAAGGGCTTTATTTGTTCCCGGATGAAGGGCAGCCGCAGCACGGTCCGCAGTAGGCAGGCTGTGGTCTGTAGTTTCCGGAACCTCAGGCTGGCTAGAGGGCAGGCAGCACCTTTCCAGCGCACTGGCCGAAACCAACGCGGTAGCCATCTCCCTGGCAGTGACCTGAAACACAGCGGGGCAGGATCAGTCACGGAGCTGCGGGCCTCCTGGGCTTGGGTGCTTCAGAGCACGGACTGGGGCAACATAAAGACAAAGGCGGCGTTGCTCAGGATGGAAGGCGACCGGTGGCTTTGCACACCCCGACCCTGCCTGGAACTGTGCCTCCTGCGACTCAGTGGCAGAAGGAAAAACAAAGATGGAGAGAAATGAGAACCCAACTGCCAGTGGAAGAAAACACAAACAATCCTGAGAAGACAGGAGGTCAAAAAGCCCAATGGGTCCGTGAACCAGATGCGCAGCAGATCTGTACCGTGAAGGATAGCAGACACAGAGAGGCCGGTGTGAGCGATGCCGCTATCACATGACCACAGGGAGGGAAATGGGTTTGTGTCACAGTGTTTCAGATGCCGAGAAAGAAGTCTCAATTAACTGTGAGCTGAAGGGCAGTGAGCAGTGAAGTGCCAGTCTGCGGGAACAGATCCCTGCGGGTCCAAAGCAGAATGCCCAGAGAGGACAGAAAGCAAGGCTTGGGATTGATGCCTGAAGCCACTTGCTCAAGCTGATGGGGTTTGGTTACTTTCTTCTCCTGTGTGATTCCCTACAGGGGCCACACTGGGACAGGGGCCCAGATTCAAATCCTAACTCTATGCGAGCCTGAATAAGGATGCAGATTTCTGTTGTAGTCTCCATGTATGAAGGATGAGGACTGAGTACACATGGGCGCCTTGTACCGTGTTTCATATGAACTACTGGTCATATGAAACTCATACTCGGTCATCAGGGAGTGACATAGGGACTTGTCTCATCAAGAAAGCAGAAAGCAGGGAAATGACAAGATGAAGGAAAGTCAGAGGAAGTCAGTAGGAAAGAGCCAAAGAGAGTCAGAGTATGTGAAGCTGGAAGGCATTATATGGGCCCTGGTACCCAATGCCCTGTGGCCAAGGCAGCACAAACTAGGGCTCCTGTGGATCCTGCTTCCCACAACCACACAGAAAAGGACTTTCCCTGCCTTCTGTGGTACAAACACCAAGAACACCATGGGGTTTCCTGCCTCAGCCCTGGGGCCCTTTTTTCCAGGCCTGACAGCTGCAGAGACAATTCTGCATTGTTCCAGGCAGCTTATTCAGGCTCTGTCATACTGACAACAGAGAGCCAGCGTCGCTTTCTCTCTCTCTCTCTCTCTCTCTCTCTCTCTCTCTCTCTCTCTCTCTCCCTCTCTCTCTCTCTTCCACATCAACACTGTGAAAAGCACGTTCACTCAATCCACAGGACCCCACAGCAAGACCTGAGGTTGGCTGGTGGGCACTGGAGCAAGACCAGACACAAAGCTGGCATACAGCAGTTGGCGTCCTTGCTTGACAGGCAGAGGTCTAGCCTTGGAGAGCAGCTCGCAACGGGAACTGTATCCTGACCTTGCCGTCTGTGCAATCTGAATCACCTCCCTTATACGCCGCTAGGTTTTTTTACTTTGCAAATCTGGGGCAATGACACATTTCCAAAAGGCTCGGGTGAGTAGAAAGAGAAAGCACGGAAGCAGACCCACCTCCAACACCGCTGGGCTCTGCAGACATTTAATAAGCACAGTCGGCCCTTGGCGTCTCCAGGGTAAGCCCCTGAGTAGTTTGCATAGAGCCTACACACACGGTCCCTACACACTTCAAATCATCTAGAGGTGGCTTAAGGTGCCTAAGACAATACAAATGCTGTGTCAAGGGCTACACTGTATGGCTTAGGGAATAATGACAAGAAAACTGGCCATTTTCAGTACAGATACAACGTTTCTTAACATTTTCCCTTTGTAACTGGTTGGATACATGGACACTGAAGCACAGACACCGTGAGGCTCTACATAATCAACCAGAATTAGGATCAGTGGGAGCAAAATGGGTAGTGATCAACCCTGGGGTGCTGCTTGCCGTTTTGAGCTCTGACTGTACCTTTCTCCTTGGTTCAGCCCACTAAACAGTATGCCTAGCTTGTCTCTATGCACCTCAGATTAAGCTGCGAACTCCAACGATATCAGATCCCACACTGGCACCTACTTCACAGTGGAAAGGCTTTCAGGTGTGACTACGGAAACACTCCTCAAATAAGGCTATTTGCGTGGGTTCGGAAACCAACACAAGTATGTCCTAGGAGCCAAGGAGGGAGGTTTGAGGAACAGAACAAGACTGTGTGCTGATGGGAACAGGGACTGGAGCCCTGCTGGTGGCACTATAGCTGGAAGGCCAAGAATAGACCTTTTCCCCAGACATCTGTAAGGAGTGCAGCCCCCCATCAGTTGCACAGCAGACTTCGGCCTTCCAGAGCCGTGAGAGAAAACCATCAAGCTCCTGAGCTCTTAGTGCAGCACAGGAAAGGGACAGGAGACCTTGGCTGGGTACGGAAGCTGACAGCCATGCTGCTGCCTTGAATGACATTGAGCTGCTGTCAGAGGATAGAGGTGGCAGGGAAGGCTGTGCCAGATTGTGTCAGGCTGTGCCAGGCTGAGGTTGGGGGTACACTGGCTCTTAAGAAAAGCGGTACTGTGATAGCAGAGGGTCTGTAGGAGAAGGAAGCTGAGTGAGCCACGCAGAAGCCCATGCTAAGACGTGATAGATTGTATGTGGCAGCAGATGGGAACCACGAGGGGATCTTGGACAGAACAGGAGCATTGTGGAGCAGGCAGGAGGACCCTGTGAGCAGGATTGATCGAAGGGTCTATTGTTGAAGCCCTGTGAGGGCTTCAGCTGTAGATCCGTAGGCGATCTAGGGCACACCAGCTGCACAGAGGGGACAGGGGAGGGGACAGAACAGACAACGATGAGGAAATGGGTCCAAGGTTCCAGTCCACAGGACAGACTGTTGGTACCAGGGCAGCATCAAGGAAGTACGTATGGGTCAGCAGAAGGTACACAAAAGGAAAGGAATGGCTGATGAGAGCAAATCAGGCAGGAAGGTACGAGATATATAAGTTTCATCAAAGAAAGGTCAAGATTCTCATCTCTCTAGAGACAGCCATGTAAAACAGCAGAGGGCACTAGTTCAAGTACTTTAGCTGTAACATACACTCCAGGCTTTAGATACCCCAAGGTGAGAAGAATTGGGACTGGACAGAGCCGCTACCTGGAGGGGAAACCAGACATCTTTATTCACAGTCTGCAAGGCCTCCATGGAGTGCCAACCTCACTGTGTAACCTGTGCAATAGGGCACAGGCGACACTGCAGTGTGAGCCTATGAGGGTCACTGCAGTGTAAGCCAATGAGAGTCACTGCAGTGTGAGCCAATCAGAGTCATAGCAGTGTGAGCCAATGAGAGTCACCGCAGTGTGAGCCAATCAGAGTCACCGCAGTGTGAGCCAATCAGAGTCACTGCAGTGTGAGCCAATGAGAGTCACCGCAGTGTGAGCCAATGAGAGTCACCACAGTGTAAGCCAATCAGAGTCACCGCAGTGTGAGCCAATCAGAGTCACCACAGTGTAAGCCAATCAGAGTCACCGCAGTGTGAGCCAATCAGAGTCACCGCAGTGTGAGCCAATCAGAGTCACTGCAGTGTGAGCCAATCAGAGTCACTGCAGTATGAGCTACTCCTCATCTCTAGAGTTCCAGGATGCCCTCCAGGGAACTCAGGAGGGGTCCAGCGCACTTCTACCAAGAGTACAGCTGTTGGCATAATCCCAGAGCTCTGCTATCAAATTGTAAAGATGAGGCAAATCGAGTCCCAGAATGTGGATTGCCTCAATTGTCACACTGTTGGTGAGTCCCTAGGAGATCACCGGAATGGTGATGACTCCAAGAAGTGGTCTTCTAACCATGATCATGCCTTCCTTGCTATTAATAAACATGTGAAGGACAGAAGGGCAACCAAAGATATGAGGCCTCCAACTTCCTGGAAAGGGCTGGCGAGAATTTTAGGTACTGCCATAATCATGCCCTCCTGACCCCAGGTTCAGATCAGCCCCTGTCCATGGTTTGATACATAGTCCAGAAAGCAAGGGCCCCATCATTACTGGGTAATTTGCTGTGTGTGTGTGAGTGTGTGTGTGTGTGTATGTGGTAGGGGGATGCAAAATGATCTCTCACTGTGTTTCCTGTGTGGACACTAACACATGAAGTTCCCAGAAGCCCAGGCAATAGCCCAGGGCATACAGTGCAAACACAGAATCCAGAAACTCCAGTAAATGCACAGCAGACAGATGGCCCCATGGCCAGATGGGTATTCTCAGCCTGAGGGGTTTGTGGGATGCACCTGTTATGATGACTTCATCGCCATCCAGCAGGAAGGTCCTGGTCTGGCCCTGGCCCAGATCGATGGCCTTTGTTCCCCTCCAGGACAGTTCTAGCATAGAGCCAAAGCTTCCAGGTTCCTTTATGGGGGGGGGGAGAACATGCATTTATATCTTGGTGATATAATAGGTCAGTTCTAGTGTGACAGTACGGTGAGACACAGGGGCCCATAAAACCTTTGAGGCCACTGCAGATGCGTCCTGGTGGCTCCATCTTTCCTGTAAGCATGTTGTCTATTAAGGGTCCTGTGCCTATAGCGTGCCCAGGGTACTGCTTCAGTGTACCTTCTCATTCCACTGACTGCAGCTCACAACTCCCAAGTAGTATCACACTTAGCACTATATCACTAGTGAGAGACTGTCACCTCCCAGTTACCATGGCCAGAATCTCACCTATTCACCACCCCACATCATCATTTCCAAGTTGTGTACCCCTTTCCCCAGGCTCGTGGTGGTGCAGGGGCAGATGAGAAGTCTGCTGCAGTGAGGTCACCTCCTTCTGTGTTAGATAGGGTGATTGCTGCTTTCTGGGGAGACAGAGTCAAGCTCTGGTTCTTCCGCAGGTCTCCTTTACCCCCAACTTGCTCAACTGGCCTATCTTTGGCTTGGGGACCCAGTGGGTATTTTGACACTCACGGATCCACTGATGGTTCCAGAAGCCAGGAGGTCCCCGGGTCTCAGATTGCATCCATTAACAGAGTGGTGTGTGAGCTGCTGCAGCATGGTCCAGTACATATGCTGAGGGCACAGACACAGTAGGATACGTGTGGGCATCCTGCTTCCTGGGCAGGATGTCGTCTGCTTGCTCCATGCCCATGCCTTCCCTGCCCCCACACTCCATGCATACTTACAATGCCTGTCTCTCTTCAGCTGAGATTCTGCCTTCCTCTAGTCCCTCTCCAGATGACCTGCTGTCCACCTGCTAAGGTTCTGACCCCCCTTGTCCATCAGCTTCCACATGGCTTCCCCTGGAACCTCATCTCTCCCAACACCCTTTTCTAAGATGTCTGAAAGCTGGGTCTTCTCAGCCTTTTCTGTCTGCTCAGGCCTGGGAGTTCCCGGAGTCATTCCTGGTGGACTGTCCCTCCTGCAGTAAGGCCTGGGTGACCACCCCCCACTCCAGGACTTGGAACTGACACTGTCCCTGGAGCCGAAGTGATTTTAACAGAATGTCAGAGCAGAATGGCAATGACAGGGCGGGACTTGAGGTCAAGGCTCCTGTGCCTGAAACGCTCAAAGGCCACGTATGCCCAAGCCTCTAAAATGACACAGCTTCCTGGGTCTCCCTTCTATAGCCATACTGGCAGGCAACGAATCCTCAGTAGTGGATTCTTCTCTTGGTTCTTCCTCAAGTTCCTTACTTCTTTTAACTAGAAGAAAGGTTATGCAAAACAAATGCAACTGTTTGTAGAGTCTTTAAGTGGCCAAAGGACATAAGAAGAGGTGGCCAGCTGTGTTAGCCGTTACAGAAATACAACTGAAGCCATGACCCCCCGAATGGCTGAGCTGCAAAGCCAAAAGCTACATGTCCACACATAAAGGAGCAGAATTTCTTAGATGTCACCAGTGGGAGTGTTCATGGGATGGCTAATCTCAGTTGACAACTTGATGCTATCTAGAAGAAGCCACTGTGAAGGACTGTGCAGATTCAGTTGGCCTACGGACACACCTATGAGCGATTCTCTCGATCAGGTTAACCAGAGGTGAAACATCTTGGAAAGCTATTCAAAAGTATTCCTAGGTGTGCACTCTGCTTTGTGGTATGTGTGTGTGTGTGTGCGTGCATGTGTACATGCATGCATGCATGTGTTATGATCCAGCAGTTGTATTTCTGGGTATGTACCCAACAGAAATGTGCATATGTGTACTCCAAGAGATGTGTACTCGAACGCTGACAGTAATTCAAGGGTGGCCAAAATATGGAAGCAACCCAATGCTCATCACCCATTGTGAAGCTGGCACTGTCACACCCTTTTATAACAGTGAGATAATCCAGTTCATACTGCAAATGACAACGTGGCTGGACCTCACAAACGAACAATGAAGCCCAGCGGATGATATGCACACTGTAACCATCCCATACAATACTGATAAAGAGACAAAGTCTTTATGGCAAGAGAAGCAAGGAGATATGGCCTGCCTTGAGGAAATGATGGCGTGTCTGTAGAGAGGCAGTAGGCTGCTGAGGGCTGGGCATTCCCCTTTCTGACATGGGCGCTGGGTGCACAGGGATGCTTGCTCTGTGAGATTTCCTCAGTCTCTCCACTTAGGATGCTAGCACTTTCATATATGTATTGTATCTGTGTGTGTGTGTGTGTGTGTGTGTGTGTGTGTGTGTGCTGTTATTTCATTAAAAACCTCTCATTTTTGATGGCTCTGCATTTAAGAACACAGACTTCTCTAGCAGAGAACCTGAGGTGGTTTTTCAGCACCTAGGCTGGGAGTCTCACAACCCCCATGTAACGTCAACTCCAGGGATCACTCTATTCTGGACTCCGTAGATGTTTACACATGCATGTGCATACACACACAGGCACACACAATTGTAAAAATAATAATATTTTTAAAGGTTTGATCAAAAATAAGTGGGCTGCTGAGATGTCTCCATTAGTAAAGTTTGCTGCACAGGCATAAGGGCCCAAGTTTGACTGAGTCTCCATGGCCCACAGAATGTGGTATGAGCCTGGGATAATCTGGGTGCAATGTGTGCCTGTAATCTCTGCACTAAGGTGGAAGAGACAGCAGGATCCTTGAGATTTCTGGCCAGCAGGCCTAGCCCATCCATGAGCTTCAGATTCAGAGAGAAACCTTGTCTCAAAAATAAAATGGAGAATGACTAAGGAAGACAGCCACTGTCAGCCTCAGGCCCCTTCATGTGCACACACACACACAGCACTTCCAATCAATCCAGCCCGTGAGGACATGGGATCCAGAGGCTGAACCTTACAGGATGCGAAATGCACCCAGAAAACTTTGGTCACATTTGTACAGCAGCCTCAGTCTTGACAGGACTCTGAGATGCTGTGTGTGTTTAGAAAGGACAAGAGTCATGGGGACTTCAGGCTTTCAGGTTGGCTGTCATCTCATTCCTAGGTGGCTGCTATTCTCCTGTTCCTGTCCCCTTCTTCCCCTCCACAAAGCAACCCAGCGGCCCCCAAACTCACCTTAAAGTTGGACCGGCAGATGGTAGCCGCCTGGCTCATTCCTTCTCCTGTCAGAGATTGAGTAGTGACACCCATAAGATTGAGTCCCACTGATCAGAAGGAAAACTTTCAAATTGGTTCCACTTGTCTGCTAGGATTTTACTTAGTCTGTGGAACAATAAGCTTAGAGGGTGTCAGAGCTTGGATATGCCCACCGAGGCTATCTAGTCCAGGGAGGGCAGAGACATGCACCTAAGCGGTTTTTTTCCCACCCAGAGCAAGCACCACTGTCAGAGGCATGTGTGCTGCTGAGTTTAGACATGGCTTCAGAGTACCTTTTCCTACAGTGTTCCTAACATCCACCATATATGCTGAAACTTACATATGACTTTGATCAAACACAGCCTGCAACTCTCTGGACAACTGGTCTACCTGCTACACTTCTGTAATAACAGATAGTGTAGTCGTTCACCATTGATGTCAGCAGTCCTTACTAAGCACCTGCTTCATTCAGGATTACTGACATCTTCTGATAGTATGAACCCCTAGAAAGTGCTTCCCCCCCTCAAAACCAGTCCCTCTACCACAGAAGGTATGCTCTGCAGCCCCACAGGAAGTCAAGCTGCCTACATTGCTGCTTTCCAACCCTGATATTCTGATGTCAGCTTGGAACCTCAAAACTGTGACTTGAGCTCTGTACCCCTGGATGTGGTGGTTTCACTCCCATCCCATCCCTCCCCACCAGGGCCCTTCACTGACACAGGGAAATGACCAGAACAAGAGCAAAATAGGAAGGCACTGCAAGGATGTGTTTGGGAGTGAACGCATGAGCTTGGAATTTACAACACTGGTACTTAGTTCCAGCCTGGGCCTAGCCAGCCCCATGACTCAGGGTGATTCTTCTTCTCTGAGCCTCAGTTTCCTGACTTGAAACATGAAAGGATGGGACCAGAAGATTCCCAGAGGAGGGTGCTGCTATGGCTCTTAGATCTTTCCTAGATGGAGCATCCTGCTACTTGATCCTTAAGAAACTGAGCCCAAAGAAAGAAAGAAAGAAAGAAAGAAAGAAAGAAAGAAAGAAAGAAAGAAAGAAAGAAAGAAA